ACTGATTGAATAACGGGTAATCGAACGATGCGAATGACATTCTTATCGATTTCACCGAACAGGTACACACCGGTAAACACGTAGTGCACTGATTACACTACAATTTAAAACGACGATTGCGAAAGTGTATGTATCATCAACGGAAAAGAACGAAAAGTGTACGTGAGTGGGATTGCTTTGATAAATACGAGCGCACGGTGTGCCCAGTGCTCACATTCGTCTAGTTACGGCCCGAGGTAAGTACCCTAAATTGTCTCCTTAAAAAAATACAAAACATCAAGTTGAAATTTTTTTTTTTTTTTCTATTATGTAATAAAACGGCGTCGATGAATTATCGATTGTTTAACCATATCTACGAAACTATACATTTCTATCATACAGATATTGACGCGAAATGTAAAATCGAGAAAAATCAAGTCATCAGTCGGAGTCAATAATATCTCGCAAATAAAGAGTAATTTTTTTTTTTTATGGTTGTATTCATGCAACGTTACCCACTATTTGGAAAATTATAGAATAGTAAGAGTTTATTGACTCGTATAAGTTCATTTTAATCGTTATCAATCGTTTTTGTGCAATACATCGTTGGCGAGTGAGCGACCCTCTCGCGAAATTAGTTTTGACTCTCAAAGTAAAATATCCTTGCACTATCTGCACTTGCAACATACAAAAACGTTGCTGTGGATGTAACTTTATTCTTAACAAATCGTTTCATCCATATGTATACAGTATAAATCTGGTTAAACAATTTTACAACCAATTCAGCAACTAGTAGGCATTTTGCCAATATCGCGTGAAAATTGATACCTTTTGTTGTTGTTTCTTCATTTGTACAGAAAATGCTGAGAGCAGCAGCGATCTTTGCCCTCGTGGCCCTCGTGGCGGCCGAGCAGGCCAGCTACGAGAACTTCAAGGTCCTCCGGATCACCCCGAGGAACAACCGGAAGCTGGAACTCATCGGCGAGCTCGAAAACCACGAGAACTCGGTGTGTATACACATTATTTCCTACACCCCCGTTAATGAGATGAAAAAAAAAAAAAAATAAAAAAATACTCACTCTCGGCTATCAGTTGGAGTTCTGGCGGGGCCCCAGCTACGTGGACCACCCGGTGGACCTGATGGTCCCGCCGAGCAAAGGCCCCCAGATCACCGAGTACCTGGACGTCCACGAGCTCGAGCACGAGGTATACATAGACAACGTGCAGAGTCTGATAGACGGCGAGAAACTCCGGTCGATCGGTCGCTACTCAACCGCGAGTGGGTACGACTTTGAGAGCTACAAGACCATCGAGGAGATCCACGCGTACCTGGCACACCTCGCCGACAAGCACCCCGACAAGGTGGAGCCGATAGTGGCCGGCAAGAGCTACGAGGGCCGGGAGCTAAGGGGCGTGATGATCAGCCACGGGCCCAACAGATCGGCCATATTCATCGAGGCCGGGATCCACGCGAGGGAGTGGGTCACACCGGCAACCGCCACCTACATCGCCAACGCCCTGCTCAACAGCCAGGACCCCGACGTCAGGGGGCTCGCCGAAGCCTACGACTGGTAACAACCTATACATACAACGTCCATTTTTTACTCCCAAGTTAATAAATAACAAGCGTGTGTGTGTGTGTGTGTGTGCAGGTACATCGTGCCCTCCGTCAATCCCGATGGATACGTCTACACCCACGAATACGTAAGCTCTCACTCCTACTTACCCCAGTCTCTTGTGTACATGTGATTTTAAAATGCATTGTGGCTGTAGGATCGGCTGTGGCGGAAGACGCGCTCGGGGAAGAGCGACTTTTGCAAGGGAGTCGACGCTAACCGGAACTGGGACTACAAGTGGATGGGTAAACAATAAAAAATATATGTATATGTATATATATA